AGATCTTTGATAATAATTGTTAGATTTAAAATAAAACCATCATATCTGGCAAGTCCCTTTAGGAAACTGCCCTTGTTTATGTTTGTAAATGTAGGACACATAAGCCTGTGTTGTTTCTCTTTTTTAGAATTATTTTATTTTTTCAACCTTTAGATCAAATGCATTGAAAGTTTTTAAGCTGAAAGCAAAATATTAAAATTGATGTCATTTAATTCACCTGATAGTTGACCCTTTATATGTTCCCATTGTAGTTTTCTAAAAGTTTTTTATATGATTTATGAAGATCAACAAACTTTTACTGTAAATAAATGATACTATTTGTATTTTTTTCTTCATACCTTTACTGAGCTAAACATGCCAATAGTTTTATCAGCTGGAATTTGTGCTCAGATTTTCATACACTGCTGCAGCCACAGTCTCTACCAGTGGTCTAAATTAATGTAAATCATGAATGAAAGGTGTTGTTTACTTAATGTGGGGCTGTGAAGTGCACGATGCCTCTGTTTACGGACGACAGGAGTTCTGCGGGGAACCTCACACAAAGTGGTTATTGACACAAAGGTTGTATTTGTGGGTGTGTATCGTTCTCGGCTGTAGGTAGGGCCCAGCTCGCTCTCAACAACACTGTCTGGGTGGAGTCGGTTTGGGAGTGTCGAATTCTATACTGGGATGATGCCGTTTGTTTTGAAAAGAAACACAATGGCTGTATTGATGATTGGGGTCAGATGAATTTTCAGATGAATTTCCCACAGCCGCGCTGGGCCAATTGGAGACCTTGGGGTTTCAAGGAGCAGCTTGAGGTTGTGTTATCATGCTAGTTTATCACTAGATGCACAATGGTGTTTTAGTATTGCAGCTGAAGGGGTGAAAATGATCAGGAAGTGTATTTGCTTACCATTGTTACAACTATGGGTTTCATGCCTCATGATGCGTGTGTCTGCGCACAAAATACATTTTTTTTTATTGCCTAAATAACTCTGACATTTTCTGGAAATGCATGTGACCTCATCGAACATGGCTGGCAGTAGGGTTACACCCGCAGAGTGGCAAAAAAGCCAGAAATGGAAGAAAATATGAAACGATGTAGAGCTGCAGGACGGATTTGAACAGGCTGTTGCCGCTTTAACAAGCACAAAGCGATGACCCAACCCAAAATGCATCACACGCTTGGATTATTATGTGATGCTGTAACGTTTTCCCCCATTTCCGCAGATGTGGTGCGGCCCAAAGTTGTGCAAACTCGGCGCCAAAGGCAGAGGTGGTTGCCCCCCGGATCAGAGCTGCATGCCCCTCAGAGAAGCCCACTGCTTTGTGAAACCCTGCCTGGAGCTCGGAGAATGCTGGGGCTCCAGCCCCCCTCAGCCTCCAATCAAATGCCACCCCAGCTCCTCTTACCAGGACAACAGCTGCGCCAACATCACCTTAATCTTAAAAAGGGAGATCATGCCTGTGGTAAGTTCCCCCAGCACCGGGAATAAGAGATTAAATTATCCTTATATTTGTTTTTATGCCTCTCCATGGGACTGGTCGTAAATAAAAATGAAAGAACAACGTGTGAAAGATCATGTTTAGAGAAAGTCGTTAGGCAATAAAAAAAAAAAAGTAAAGAATTCATGGATCATTAAATAAATGGAGTGTGTTAGTATTCCTGCCTTCTATGATTCCACTGTCTGATTCCAAATGTTTTAGTGGGATGAAGTCAATGCATCGTCAGGACTTCAGATCTTCGAAAATCTGTCATTTTGAACCATTTTGCCAAAATAGCCTCAGTGATCGAGTTTTATTCTTCATTCCTGTGCACAATGTTAGCCTATGCCTGATTTCTTCTTTGTGTCTAGGGCTCGACTGTGGAAGGCGTATGTAAGCAGTTGAGGAACCTGAACGTAATTAGGAATTTTTCCTTGGAGCATTCTGTAACCATAACCTGTGACCCGTCGTTCTCTGCCAGCAATGAGATCCACGTCTGCCTGGTGAGTGCCTCCTTCCACTTTGCCATATTTTTCTCCCTTGCTGACAAATCTTTGATATATGGCCTTTGGTTTGCATTCCCAGCGGCAGTTAAAGATGCTGTAATGGAGTTATATTGTGTTCTGTATTGTACATGGGCGCCAGTCTTGTAAAGGGATTTTATGACTTATTTTTTTTTGTTTTTGTTTTTTTTTTCTTTAAATTCAGTCCACTGATGACCATCGCTTGGATCGCAATCCCATCAAAGAGATTATTGACCGGATAATTGACCTGGTGAGCAAGAGGAACGGGAACAACACAATCCTCTCCGCCATCATTAAAGTGCAAGGGCCGAGACCCGGCAAAACTGGTATGAAACCAATTCTTCAGTTCTAGACGTGCACACACTTGATCAGATAGTGCCACACCTTAGATATGACAGCAACACTTAGGCACTAAAGAAAAATGTGTTTATTTAAAAGGCATTTCCTTTCCCCTCCCATGCATGGATCCTCCCAGCTCTGCCATGCAATGGCAGTTGTAGCAGAGCGTTAACAGAGACGATCCAGTAATTCAGGATAAAAAGCAGAGCTGCTTTGCTGTGTGGGTTTAGATGGGTTCTTTGTGAGACTGCATGTGTCCTCCATCCATCAAAATGGTGACAGCAGCCTGTGCCTTAGCCAAAGACGGTGCCTTCTCAACAAAACTCCCCTTTTTTTTATATTATTTTGCTTCATTTCACTTTATAAGATCATAAGAAGAACATGGAAATGTAAATATATTTGCATGTTTGCATGCAAATATGAATATAAAAATATTGTAACTGAATTTGCCAAGAAGTGGAGCATTACTTAGCTGAACGGATCGGTGGGACAGCTGTTAATTGTTTAAACTTGACCTTTATGACAGGTTGGTCACAAGGAAACCATAAAAGGTCTTTAAATTGTATTTTTTAGGAAGCATTTATTTCTTCAGTCTGACAAAATGAGGTGTAAACTTTCTGACTTGCATGCAAAACGCTGCTAAAACAAAAACACGCATCAGCCACTGCAGCATGATGGTGGAGGAGTCATCTTCAGTGGGATCTTACTAACATGTTCTCTTCTTCCGTCAGATTACCTTGTGCCCCTCCTCTCCTCCATTTTCATCATCATCTGGTTCCTCCTGCTGCTCTCCGTCCTACTATGGTGCATGCGGCGGCGGCGGAAACAGAGCAACCACAACGGGACATCGCCGACCTGCTCCGAGGACAACACCACCAACAACGTGCGGGAGCACCTCAACCAGATCAAGAACCCTATAGAGAAGCACGTGGGTCTGACGGTGGCCATCAAAGACTATGAAAACAAGAACTCAATCATTGCCAAAATAAGGACAAATCATCCCGATGGGGATGAGGACGACAAGGAGAGGCACTTACAGAAGAGCCGCTTCGCCAAACAGCCAGCATACACGCTGGTGGAGAGGGACGAGAAGGCGCCCATCTCCAATCCCAACCCATCGTCCAAGCATCCTAACTGGACTAACAAACAGGACAACAGGGACTTGGAGACGGCAAACAGCATAAACAGGATGGACTATATAGTATAGCAGACAGCTGTGTTGCTGTGCAACCAAGCCTTATTCCTTCACACCCAGGTGGTGGGTGAAAACGGGGAGCCTCGGCATGTGTGGTTATTAAACGGTCATGTCATTTGTTGACCCCCTCAGTATTTTTCACGTATTCCCCGTGTTAATTTAAGTTTTGACAAGCTGGCTTACACTGGCAGTGACGGTTGCTTTCGTTGGCTGGAAACACAAGGCACTGGTCTACATTTCACCGTAGAGCTACTCGCTGAAAGTGTCCTCTGTTGCATTTCATTTCCTCCCCCTGCTTTTTTAAAATCTGTTGGACAAATAGAAGGGGGGGGGGGGGCTTCTGGTGTAATTGTTGTTGAATGACTAAACCTACACGACGTGTTCGACACTAGAGCTAATTAATTTGTTTTAGTAAGCGTTTGAATTCCTTCTAGTTTCATTTGGAGAAAGTGCCTTTTTTCAGCTTTTAGACTCGAGCAACTGTCAAATAAGAGGAGAAAAAAAATCCACTTTATTATTTATTTTAACTTTTTTGGGGCAAGAGAGAAGAAATGGTTCAGTGTCAGCGGTTGCTGCCAATATGAAGAATTTATGTGACAATTTAGAACTTGTAGATATGTACATTTTTTATTAATCATTGTGTATATTTGATTTATTAACTTAATAATCAAGAGCCTTAAAGATATCATTCCTTTTTATTTATATGTTCTGTCTAGTTTGAAGGTTCTGATAGCGGCAGAAGCTTTCCATTTCTTTTTAAAACCTTTTTTTTTTTTTTGTTTGATAAAAGGCAAATTTCAAATTTGAGAAGACGAGACGGGAACTTCAACGCCTGAAAACTCCACTCGTTTTTTTTTTTTTTAACATTTGACATTTCATTGTTGCCAGGACCTTAATCCAAGCCAAGTGAGGTTAGGACGACAAAAAGATCTCCTTCGGCTGCGAGAGTTGGACATGGTGGCAAACATATTGCTTGCCGCTAATGGATATAAATTAACTTGTAAGGGAACAAAAATTCTTCAGCAGCTTCGGTTTTTAATCCACCCACGTATTTCAAAGGCTGTCGAATTCCCATCTGCTTTAGTCAGCGTGATACTTGAACAGCAGGGGGGCAATGGGAACACTGATGCAAACACTGCCTTCCTCTGCTAACGTTCGCTTTGTTTCTGTGCACATAAAAAAAAAAAAAGAAAAAAAAAAAAAGGACGAGGCTCTTTAAAAAAACGTTTTATCTCATTTGTTAACCTTTTAAGATCTTGGCAACAGTTTGTCCTTTCAGACTTCTTTTTGTGTTATGAACTTGAGAGTTATGTGTTGATCTGGCAATATATTTTTTGAAAAGTCATATTTATTAAATATTTTGTATGAAAAGAGAATTAAAAGTTGTCTTTGTTCTGGAGAAATCGAGTTCAGAGTCTGTGTCTGTGACGCATCTGGGGCCAGAACATGTCAGAGCACATTATGAGAGCACTTCTCATGCAGCTGGCGTGGGAACCCAGGCTGGAAACACTTCATAGGCTCCCATCCTGGTCCCTGTCCAAATATGTTTACAGCTAATTGTGTTGTAGCCGGCCATCCTCGCATCAGGTCAGAAATACCTCCACACCCCATGATCCTCTCACAATGTTTCCCCTTGTTAGTCCGGCCCAAAGCTGCGGACTTTCTTTAAAAACCGGACAGACGCGCAGGGATCAGAGTTTAAGGAGAATCTCTTGGGAATATGTTTGACAGGATTAAAACAGAGACCAGGGATTAGCAACACCTCCCTAGGATGACCCTAAAACATTAGGACCCGGCTGATCTAATCCGTCTCCAGGAGAACAGAACTGGCTTCTGATGACGAGTCGTCTCTAGTTACAGCTTCAAATACCGCTGTTGGCCAGACCTCCCTGTAAAGCTGCCATAAGCATTAGCCAATCTGCTCTGTGTTTGAAAGATTATAAAAATGAAATCCAAATTATTCAGTTTTTTTTTTTTTTGCATCATTCCAAGAGTTTTCTTTCGTTGGAAGCTACAAACTCATTGACATAAGAGATGGATTAATACTTTAATCAGTTATATGTGAGACTCAGCTCTTCAAATAACCACTGCTGCTGAAGCAGTTGCTCATATTTAATAGGAATCTATGATAAAAACCACGGTGCTTCATTGAAATTGTTTTTCATTTTCACAACTGTTAAATTCATTACTTCTGTCATTGATACTAATCCCTGTATTTCACAAACTAGGCATGATCACAAAGGATGCATGGTTTTCATAACTCTTACAAATAATCTGCAAGTGAGGAATCCATTTGTTCTTTGCCCCCTCTAATTAACTCCAGCCTGAGTCGCATAAGTAAATAAGTTGTTCTTTGAAGATCTCCGAGGTTTGTTAGATGACATTAGTAAGAAAACCGCAGCACGGACAAACGAAACGAAAAACCGTGGGAAAGGAGAAGGCCTATCAGAGAAACGGCCAGTGTGCTGAGAGTAGCTCTGGAGGAGCTGCAGGGATCCATAGCTCGGAATGGCCACTCTAAAGCGACCACCACACTGTGAAACAGCGATGGCATCATGCTGTGGCGAAGCTTTCAATGAAACCAATTCAGAGTTGTTGAGGAAAAATGTTTTAATTGAAGCTTATTTGTACAATAGAATGGACCAGTCAGAATAAAGATGGTTTCTGCTTAGTCTGACTGAACAAAGCTTTCTGCCAGAAAGTTTGCAAAGCTGTTAATCACATTGCAACGATCAGCTTTAACAACAGGATGTAAACTAAGCCTTAAACTTCTGAACGTGTCTGAGTTTTTTTATTTGGGGCCATCGGAATAAAAGGGGCTATATACAAACACAAAGCTTTTCAAATTTTATTTCTGGAAAAGAATAAAATAAAAAAAAATAAAATACAAAAAACTCCTCCTTTCTGCCCTCTCAGTTGAGTCCTACTCTGTGTTTTTCTTAAAATCTCAACAAAATCCATTAAAGTTTATGGATGAAACTTTAAAAAATGTGGGAAAGCTCAAGGGGTGTAAAAACTTTTGCTATACTCTGCATTCGATGGATTAGGAAATATGTATTCAATAAAATTTACATGACAAATGTCTGAAAAAATAAAATAAGAATAGGGTGATGAAATAAGTCTGGAAACTGCCATCAATCACATCAGAGCTTCAGCGGGGATACTGGACCCTTTTCAGACCCGTAGGAGCCAGCATTTCAGACTGAAAGCCATGACGTACTGCACGGCTCCTGACTGTCTCAAACCCCTGAGCTTTAACACAAAACCAAATCTATTCCCCTATAAAGGTTTTTTTTTTTACTTCATTTGCAGAACTCCGTACTCTATACTTAAAACAGGCCTGTTTTAAGTATTTGTCAAGAGAAAACTCCAATAATTTAGTTTAAATTGACAAAAAGTGGTTAACATTTGATTTAAGTCACAAGAATAATGTGTTAAAAAGAACAAGTAAAGTTTTCTAGAGACCACATGAGCTGCAAGCATGCAGCCTGACAGAATAAAATCTCCAACACCGTGGCGTCAGGGATCTTTCCTTCAGCTTTCCTTTCCCTCTCAGGACCTCTTCGTTCGTCGTAATCTGGAGGTTCTGGGCACGTTTTCACTCCCCTCCACACTGAGTGCAGATCTGGAACCAATAGAGGAGCCCGAGGATGCGGGCTTGACAGATAGGCCCCTCAGACTTGCGGCTGGCCTGTTTTGGTTTGTCTTTGCTGTGTTATTGCTTGTAAGGAGGAGCCTCTGGGCCTGTTTCCCTGGAGTAAGCAGCTCTACTTCCAGTGTGGTTTTCTTGCACTCGGAGACAGGGAAAGCCTTGGACTCTGCCATCACTACGACTGTAGGAAGTGGCAGCGGAGGAGGGAGGTTTTGGTTGGATGTTTGCGAGGTAGAGCGGATTTGCACTGGGGCTGAAGGGCTTCCAAGGCACGTTTTCTTGGCCAGTTGTAAGCCAGGATCTTCCCCAGCATCACTGGGCTCGCACCTCTTGCCGCTCTTCTGTGTTATTTCATGGCTTGACTCATGCTTTTGCTTTTGAGCAGACCGTATCTCAGCCTCAAGTTCAATTAAGGCCTCGCTGCAAGGCACCTTGTGGTTTGCCTCCAGGGGTGCGTTCGGCTCAGACGTGGGCACGGCCTCTGGTCTTGGGTCTGAATGCCTAGCTTTATGTTCCAGTTTCTGCTTTTTGGGGAAGCCTCTCTGGTCCATCTGCTGCATCTCAGTCATAGAACCACAGATCTCTTGCTGGACACAGGCTTGTTTGGCTCTACAAAAAAAAAAAAAAGTTTAAAGCATGGAACAAACATTGTGAGCGTCCTCTTTGACTGGTGGGGTTGGAAAGCATTAGATCATACTTACATCTTTTGAAGCACAGACTTCTTTGTTTTTCTCGGGCTGTGTAAAAGCTCTCGGATTTCTCCCACACTGGAAAAATATTCTGATCTGGTTTGCTCACCCAGCTCAGGCTAGAGAGGACAAACAGAATAGGTGTAAACAAAGGGGATTTTGTTGGCTGCATCCCTTGATGGAAGGAGGAAATGTAAATACGTTGTGGGAATGAAGGGAAATAAGGACAATCAGAAGAGAAAATATGAATCTATTCTGGATACAAGAGATTTTCATGAAATTGAGGAAAAAAAGCTGATATTTGGTTCCTTAAAGGGTTAAATCTTAAAGTTTAATACATCCACATACTCTAGGGGGGAGCCTGTGAGGCAGAACCTGGAACAAGCCAAAAATTGGATCTCACCAACATGTGCCCTCAACGGGCCACTAATGAAGGTTAATCACATGCCGTTTTTTTTTTCCCTTGGCTGACCGAGAACAGACTCCAGTTTTATTAGAGTACAGAAGATGCGGGTAGTAAATTGAGCAGAACTTGGAGGTAAAGACTCAGATTGTCATAAATTAATTGCAATAAAAATATGGTACAGTGTGCAGGCAGGCCCATTCCAGATTATTTGATTGCTCCCTTAGAGTAAGGCTGGAGATATACAGCCCCTTACAAAAGTATCCATACTCTCTGATCTTCTTTATGATTTGTTTTGTTTTTTTCACATTATAACCACAGAATCAAAGTAATTCTATGTGATTGACCGACGTAATGAGGGTCATCCTTTTTGATGTGAAAATGTTTTAAAATGTGCCACACCAACCAAAACATTGTCGACCACTTTAACTGACACGTCTCAAGGAAGAGCATGAATTAGAGAGCTGATAATAGGCCCATTGTGACTCTGGGGGAGCTGCAGAAATCCACAGCTCAGGTGGGAGAATCTGAGGACAGACACCTTTCAAATGCAACAAATCTGGTCTTCCTTGAAAAGAGGAATTCTTTGTTGAAGTTGGGCCTAATTCTATCCCATATACAGCACGCAGCAAACATGGAAGAAAGTCCTCTGATCAGATGAAACCGTTCTGAGCACAAAATCCACTATGAAACATGGTGGCCGGAGCATGATGCTGTGGGGAGGCGTTTCTCAAACAAAGAGAACCGCTCCAGGTGGTCAGACTCCATGGAAAGATGAATGGTGCCAAGTTCAGGATAATCCTGAAACCACACAAATGGTTTACAGCCAGGGCTGCAACAGAGGTGTTTAGATTAAGAAATATACATGTAGTATCATTATTTCCTCTTTACAACTACGCTTCTATATTGGTGCATTACATTTTGTGGCTAAGACATGAATACTTGTGCATTTTATCATAAAACTGACCCACTAATACAATTTAAGATATTCGGATGACAAGTGGAAAATATAGCCTCCATGATAAAAGAAAATCAGGGTTTAGGAATGTCTCAGTTAAGCCAATAGGAGTGGTTACTTCACTGTGGACAACCATTTTGGGCACGATGACAATGCAACTCACAGACCCTTGTCCCTTGCATGACTGAAAACTACAGTGTGTCACAGCGGGGAAAAGAAACCACATCGACGTTTAATCTGGGAAAATACAACAGAGTGGCCAGCATGTTTATTTAATATCGTCCGTTTCTCAGATCATTGCGCTCCTATAAAATGGTTCGTAAAATGATCAATGTGCTCTTTAAGACGGGGAAAGCCGATGTGGTGAGCGCTGGCGTCCACCAGTTGTTTTTAAAAGCAGAATGAAAAATCATTAAGGTCCACTTCCACAAACATGATACCAGCAGCAACGCGGGAGATAAGGAGTAATTGCCCAAAGCTTGCAGGAGTAAGCTGGAGCATTGTGGCTTTGCGCTGGGTGTTGAGACCTTGTAACCGAAGCACTGTGGAGAGATTCAAGAGGCCAAGCGGAGGGAGTGTAGCAAAGGGGGAGGCCGGACGATGGGGAAGTTAAGAAGAAGAAAAAGACTGGACAGGCAGAATAGGAAAGAGTGTTTAGAGAGAAGCACAACAAAAGGAGAGGCACCTCCCAAAGTCACACCGCCTGACCTCAGACGTCTCTTCAAAATGCCCACAAGAGTAAGAATCCCCACACAGGAAGTTCTCCACAAGCTGCTCTTTGTGTAAGAACGGAGCCATGCTTCAGTGTGGGCAGCGCTTCACTCTTTACTCTCACTCAGAAGCCAGAGTTACAGCTGGCCTTTTGGACTGCAGCAGGGACACACGTAAGAACTTGCATTCGCCCACACAGTCGCACACCCACCCAAACAACAACAGCAAGAAAGTGAAAAATGTGGGTGCCACCATTTACATTGTAAGGCCTTGATATGCATTATCGGTTGTTTAATATGAATAAATCCTGTTTGAAAGTGAACTTGAAAGAAAAATCAACAAGACGCTAAAGGGAGGCTCCCTGGGAAAGTTCAGATTCCTTCTGTTCCTGTCGGAGAGGCTTCAAAAGGACAAGAGTGAAAGAACCGAGTTATGGAAAGAAAGAAGCACCAACACAGGAAGGTCGGATGTACCCGAAGAAAGAAAAAAAAAGAAGAGGATAAAAAGACACAAGGAGGTGATGCATAAATTACTCTCATGTGGTTTTGATCCTGAAAAGGCAAGCTTGTAAATAACACATCCGGTGATCCTTTAAGAGAGTCAGATCGTTATTCAAAGTTTTATTATGTCCAGCCATCCATGCTAGATCCCCGCCCCCAAGTGCATATTATGTTTGCTTTTCTAACTCCCATCTCCACCGCAAGAGAGTTAAGTTTAACAAAAAGCGCTTAGGGTGACTTAAAGCATTTCTACCTCTAACTGTGAAGTGGAGGAAAAGCTTTTCCATATAATTTTTTTTTGCAGAACGGCCCAACCTCATTCCAACATCCATTTTCCAACTTTCCTAAAGATTCTCAAAAGGATTCGGTCTGGACTTTGACTGGGTCGTTCTAAAACATCATAATGCACTGACATAATTTATTGCATTGTATAGCTGTTTGTATGCTCACAGTGGGCTCAACTTAATCTCCTCTTCACTCTTTCAATTCTTAATCCAATTATCTTCCCAACAAATCTAACCAGCCTCCCAATTATAAACAAATCTAAGGGTGCATATTCTGTGAATACATACATTTTACAGCAAATTCAAAAGGTTCTGCAAACTCATAAGTAACACTAGCACAAAACTGAGACTGACACACACAACAGGCTAAGGAAAATTGCTGCAAGTACTAAAACTGCAAGTAAAGAACAGCTGCAAACTAGGAGCTTTGGAAATGCTCCAGACTACTGAGGGAGAGATATTTATTAGCTAATATGGAATGAACCCTTAGTAAAGGCATAAGCAGGATGCTAAGACAGTTTAATTGTTTCTTTAAAAAAAAAAAAAACATACCTTCGCTTTCTCTCATCCAGGTGTTCTCTGGACAGCATCTTATTTATGTATTTGCTAAAGGACTGGTCCATAGATGTCAAGTCATAGTAATGTATTCGTCAGGTCTCAGATGAGGAACAGTAATGATGTCTCAGCCTAGTGGTAAGAAGCTCTTCCATTAGGAAGTTCCGTTTTGCAGCTTTTCTTAGCTTTCAGTTATTTTTGCTACTTCCAGTATGTTTTCTTTACCTGTGTTCTGCACGTTAGCATCATTTATGTTTTGCAATATTTTTTTTTGTGTTTGCAGCATTTTCTTTCACTTTGCTGCTCTCCATTTTCTGTGAGTGGAGACCTTCCCCTTTGCATCATATTTGCTTTGCTTGCGTTAAGTTTCAGATTTGGGTTTGATGTAAAATCCTTATAGACCTTTTGCATGCTTGGTGCATGATGCTGTCACCACCATACATTAATGTAGGGGTAGTGTGTTTAGGATGATATGCTGTGTTGTATGCATGCGTTCACTTTATTCGTGTCTTTGTGGCAAACATGAAAGAGGATTTCTGAATGCAACTGGCCCCGATGAACTTTATTTAGTTGTATCAAGTTCATAAAAGGGGCAAAGTGCAAATGTATGACACACATTTAAGATATTTCCCCACAAATATAGTATATACTTTTACTTTCATCCCACGTCTTTATGTAAGTTACATAAAAATATTTATCATAGTGATTGTAATGGGAAAAATGGGGGAAAAAATCAAGTCTAAAGACACTGCACCCTTTTTTTTTTTTTTTTTAGCTATTCAAGAAAAGCAGTATAATATGTCATCAGTCACTAAAAAGGTGAAACTCGATATCAACGCATTTAATTTCAATACTTCAACTAGATTCAACATGTACTTCAATTTCTTAAGAGCAACTTCTGCTAGTTTTCATTCCAAAGACAAAGGGTTTATCATACAAGTACAAAGCAATGAATAAAAAAGGTACAGGCATTGATATCGTGAAAGGAGGATAAATGATGCATCAACAACCTCCTATTAATCAGAAGCTGTGAGGATAAAACTGTATTTGTGGAAATAAGTGTCACATAACGCTGCCAATAGCTGGCGTTACCATGACTGCCTCTATGAGTGCAAACAAGTGTGAATGCCCAGGGTGTGCCAGTGAGCATGCCCCCATACAAAAAAACAACTAAACAAATCACTCCTTCCCTGAAGGCCACAAAGCAATACAGCTCAGCTAGATCAGCTGCAACAAGGCAGCACATCTGGATGTTAGTTTGAAAAGATAAGCCTGGCAAAAGGGCAGCAGGCACAGAGAGGATGAATTATTTGGCTTAAAGGGATCTTGGTACTCAGTCTTATAGCTTGACCCAGCTCTTAATGGCTCCTGGAAGCAACTTCAAAAAGATAACCAAGCAGATACTCCATAAAACACCAGTTTCTCCTCTGTCACCTGAGATAAGACAGGAGTTCAGACAGGGGGGTTAGGAGGGGGGATTATGTTTGTTATCTTGTAATGCAGCTGCACTTGAAGTAATGCAGCGATACGGCAAAACACTCTGACTGATCTGAAACACTTTGCTGCTACAATGACCGAGTTTCTCTTGGTATTTCGGAACTTTTCTCACAGATCACAACGAGATCCTCCAGACACAAATACACTCATACCTAAGAGCCATTTAGAGAGACCAATAAACCAAACATCAGTGTCTTTGTATCCCTGGGAG